GTGTTTTGTTAAAACTATGAACTAAATTATTTACATCGTTGTCATGTTCATATTGTATGTTCGAAGTACACAAATCATTAATGAAATCATCGACATTGATGCGATTAACATTGCGAAATTCAATTTCTTTTGGACGAGGTAGTTGTCTATCAAAGTCAACTTGGAAAGATATAGGAAAATGATCTGAGAGTTGTTTGTCCCAGACTTCAGCATTACGAATAAGAGAATTGTTCCCAGAGTTGCATCATTTATGTGTTGTGAGGGATCGTGTGAGTCAAGGATCTCAAGGCACTTTTTTGTAAGACTATTTTTTGGACAATCAAAGTGAACATTGAAATCACCTAGTATTATTGTACTTTCCTTCTTTTCGTCCAAGAAATAACATAATGATGCAAATTCTGTCACAAACAGCGAGTCTGTAAGGTTGTTTTTTCTAGATGGAGATGGCCTATATATACATAGGAATCTTAAAGATTGCTTTCGGAAACTGAAAAAAATGCCAATTGCTTCGAAAGATATAAAGGCTTGTTTTAACTTAAATTGTTGAGCCGTGAGATTCTGGTCAAATATGTGACCGAGTACGTTGTCGTCGTCGTGTGTACTGGTCACAGAAATAGTTCCATATTGAATACGATACACTTTATTACACAATCAGTAAGCAGATACAGAGCAAATCAAGAAAACAAAACTATAGTACTAGGGAACAATGGCTCAGCAGTGCTGGTTTACCTAAGACCCTTACTCTTCAATGTCTGCTTAATTCTGTCCTATCACACCACCTGCACCAGAGGTCATAGGTCATTATACTATATTTAGCAACTTATTCAGGCTAATAACAACATAGTAGAACAAGATCAAAGACAATGACATCTGCATGATGAGTGATATTCACTAGTTAAAGTGAAGGTCTAAAGCTTAGTTTAAAGGGACATTATTATGTCACACTGTTACACTCTCCCTCACTTTGAAATAAATGCGTCCCTGCATTTAGTATGATTAAAAACTAAACAAAAATGTGAAGAAAAGAAAAAAAAAATATAGAAAATTCACAAACAATAGTAGAAAGCAACCATTGCAGAGTTTTGTTTAAGTGCCAAACATTTGCGAATTAATCACTTTGTTGTTGCAATAGCGTACCCAATTCTCTAATAGTTGTAGCAACTAAGGAGTTACTTAATTTAATCATAGCTTCTGAAAAATCTACTGAAATGTTACTGTTAATAGCACTTGTAGGTAATTTATGAATGTTACGATGAGTTCCAAGATAGAGCGAGTTGATCTTCGTACAGTAGTATCTATTTGTGGGTTAGGAGGAGGTTCGTCTATAATCATAGGATATTCGTCTTCGGTGGTTTCATTATCAGGATCCACTATGTTAACACCTGGATTAAGATTGTTACTGTTCACTGGTTTACTTACATCATCATCACTTTCATTGGAGTCAAGTATTGGATTAGTGGTATTGTTATTATCGTTAACTGTGTTGTCTTCAACAGGATCAGGATGTTCTTGTTGCTCTCGTTCAATCGGAACATGTTCAGGACATAATTTAAGTTCGGATCTATGAAGAGT